TCTCTCTCTCTCTCTCTCTCTCTCCTCTCTCACTCTCTCTAAAAAAAAATTAAAAATAAATAAATAAATAAATAAATAAAAACCCAGAAAATAAAGAGATTGCTTTTGAAGAGTAGAACTAAAAATCTGGAGAGTGGGGTTAGTGGCTACTGCTTTTCACTATAAGCATTTTAGCATTAGATTTGATTTTTTTAATGATGTAAAATCCTTTTGAAGGGCAATTTGTTAACATCTATAACTTTTTTGGAGTGAGTCTACTTCTGGGAACCTGTTGTACAGAAATATTGGATAAATGTGCAAAGATATATGTGCCTCATTGCTGTGAATAAGGAAAAGCTAGGCACAATTCAAAAGTACCAATAGAAGATAAAAGAATTGAATTTAAAATTCTATACAATAGATAGTATAAGGTCAATCCCATATATACCACTATAGAGAAATATTCAAGTTATATGATGATATTAAAAATGCAGTAAAATGTATAAAATCATGCACAGTATAATCCATTTTTTGTTTTAAAAAAGTACATGTATATGTATTTTCACAGGAAAAAACTTGAAGAACATGCTACAAATGATAAATGAACTTATGGGGATTGAGATTATATGAGACTTTTCATTTCTATGTAAAAGCTTCTATAGAGATCTGGGATGTCACTCAATGATAGAGCATTTGCCTAACATTTGCAAGGCCCTGGGTTTGATTCCCAGCACTCCAAAAATTTTTTTAAAATCTGTAAACATTTTTATAAAATATATGTCATTCTAGTAATTAAAAACTAGATATCAGGGGATGTGGCTCAAGCGGTAGCGCGCTCGCCTGGCATGCGTGTGGCCCGGGTTCGATCCTCAGCACCACATACCAACAAAGATGTTGTGTCCGCTGAGAACTAAAAAATAAATATTAAAAATTGTCTCTCTCTCTCACTCTCTCTCCTTTCTCACTCTCTCTTTAAAAAATAAATAAATAAATAAAAATTAAAAAAAAAACTAGATATCAATCTGGGCACAGTGGTGCATGCCTGTAATCCCAGCAACATGGGAGGCTGAGGCAGGAGGATTGCTAGTTTGAGTTTAGCCTCAGTAACTTAGGCCTTAAGCAACTTAGTGAGTCCCTGCTTCAAAAAATAAAAGGAGCTGGGGATATAGCTCAGTGGCAAGGCATCCCTGGGTTCAATACTTAGTACCAAAAAACAAATTAATTAATTAAAAATATTAACTATGGATATTGCTCAGTGGGTTCAATTCCTGGGTTGAATCCCCAGTACCTAGAAAAACAAAAACTAGTTATCAAGTAGGACAGGACTCCCATGCCAGTGCTTTCTTAGTTATGCAGGGAGAGAAGGAAAAGTGTCGAGCTCTGAAGTTTTCCAGGAGTCATGATTGGCCCAGCTTCAGGAAGTTGGATTGGAAAATGACTGTTAATACTAAGGCAGTCAGAAGCCTGCCTCAGGCAGCAAAATTAGATCCTAGGGTCTGGGGTCATGGCTCAGTGGCAGAGCACTTGCCTAGCATGTGTGAAGCACAGGGTCTGATTCTCAGCACCATATATAAATAAATAAAGATCCACTGACAATTAAAAAAATATATATTTAAAAAAGAAAAAATTAGATCCTTTGCCCTCCTCAACCTGAAAGGTCAGAAAGGGGCAATCCTGTGCTCTTTCTAGAACTATTCCTCCATCCTCAACAATCTGGGTTCTGGTGAGGTGTAAGGAGTGAGTGAGCTAGACACTGGGGGGGGGGGGACAGCACATAAACATGCATGTACAGTCACACATTCATACAGGCATGCTTCGTGCAGAACCCACACAGAGTCATGCAAACATGCAGTTGTTTGCCAGCCACAGACTTGGGGAGGCACCAAGAGATTATACAAACACTGAGATACACAGAAAGGGAGAAACAGAGAAAGATAAGGAACCAGAGAAAAACGAAAGAGAGGGAAACAAAGCCTGTTCATTCCCCCTTGGGAATGTTCCTTTGGAATATGTACTTAGATCTGAGTCCCATTTTGAACTCCCATCAGTAGGAGCTTGGGTAAATTATGCCACCTCAGTTTCTTCTGTAAAAGAAAGTTAATCTTCCTGATCTCAGTGGGACGATATCAGGCAATGTGAGAGGATACTACTGCTGCCTGCCTGGGAATCTTCCAGATATTGAGGTCTTCCCAGCCACAGGCAGAGATCAGGGGCCAGGTGCTAGGCAGTGAGGGATGAAGTGAGGGGTACTCACGGATAGCAGAGGAACAGGAGGTTCAGGAAGGAGTAGGTCCTGAAGAGGTGGATGAGGGATCGGCACAGACTCCAGCCTGTTGCCGTGAGAACGGTGAAGCGGGTGAGGAACAGCAGGATGGAGCGAAAGAGGGAGACCTTCCCCCTCTGAGAAGCCTGGGTCAGGGCGAGATAGGACGGGATGGGGATGGAGGCCACAGGGACTGTGCCCAAATCCCACCCAGCATGGCCTATGATCCACCCAGGGAAAGGTGCACAGCAGGATGGGCAGAACATGAAAGGTAAAATCCTTCTCTTGGATGCCCAGTAAACTCTGAGAGTCAATGGGATGTGGATAATGTTCTGGGCATATCTCCTTGGCATCCCCAGGGGAAAAGGGAAGTCCCAAAGTCCCTGGCCAGACTCTAGGACCCAGTCACCTCCTTCACGATGGACCCAATGAAGCGGCGGCCCAGAACAATGGTGGTCACCATCAGCAAGTTGAAGTCGATCAGGTGGAAGTTCTGTCAGGGGGCAGAGGCCTGGGGGTCAAGAGGGCCCCTTGCCCATATAAGGGCTTTTCTCATACCCACAACCTCCCCCTGCCCAGTCCTTTCCACAGAGACTGTACCCACTCTCTGACCTTTATTGGCCTCCAGCTGAGTCAGGCCAGGAAATTACCTAGAGGAGTAGAACAGGACCCAGAGAAGGGAAGTGGGACAGTCCCTGGGGATAAGAGAGTGGTGTGTAAGCCCTCTTGTTCTTAAAACCCATGCCCTGTCCCTGTACCTTCTCTTCTGCACAGGGTTCTTTATACCCCTGAAACACTTGTGTATGTCTGTGGCTTATTTCTCTGATAGGATTTAAGATGACTCTGAGTGCCTTTTGGCAAAATCTGTGTCAGATTAATCTCTGTTACCCTTACAATGACCAGTGTGGTTCTAAGCACACTAGCAGTATTCAAGAATCAGTTTCCTGTTCCTTCTACAATCCTCAATGCCCAGCACTGGGCCAAGTGCACAGCGGTGCTTGGTAGGCTATGTTAAGCTGAAACCAAATGTCTGTCTGTCTGTCTGTCTGTATCTCTCTCTCTCTCTCTCTCTCTCTCTCTCTCTCACACACACACACACACACACACACACACACACACACACACATACACAGTGGGCCCTGGCTAGGCACCTACCAGGGAGGTATGGGAGGGTGGGTGAGAGGGTGGATACCACCACACTGTCTTGTAGATGTTGATGTAGTGGACGAAGAGGGCTATGAGCTGGCAGAAGAAAAGCTGTAACTCAAACAGAATGCTGGCCTGAACTGGCAGCTCGGGGATCTTGCAGTGTTGCAGAGGTACAACTGTCTGAGTGGCCAGAGGAGGGCTGGAGAGGCCTGTTCCAGAACTGCTCCTGGGGTGGGAAGGGAATAACATCAGGAAATGACCTAAGAACCTTACCGGGAAGGGCTTCTGGGGCACAGGACTATGGGGTAAGAACAGAGAAAAGCAGCTTGTAACAGACAAAATCCTCCTACTCTTGACTGACAGACAAAGAAGATGACAAAGTCTTTGCTATCCCTAATTTTATTCAGGTCATCTAACATCCCCAGAAGGAACATATTAGGTCCACTTTACAGATGAGGAAAAGGGGGCCCAGAGAGAAAAGGCAACTAGTCCAAGCCATCAGTAAATCAGAATTGTCCTTGGAATCCAGGACTTTGAGCTTATTCTACGATGTCTACCACAGCTGTCAAATGACTACCTTCAACTGAGATCCCTCTGGGTCTTTTCTGCTGCTTACTTCCATGTAAGCACCATCTGGCATCCAGAATATTACATGCTAGAATTCAATCATCCCAGAATGAAGTTCACTCTGCTAAAGGGAGGGGCAAGAGGCAGAGAAGTGGCTTACCTAGTGCGAGAACGGACACTGGTCACTGATGCGCTAGAAGTGTGGCCCCCACCAGAGCCTCCTGAGGATCCTGGCTCACAGAGCGGATTTCGACAGTAAGATGTCCTGTTGGGACCTCTTCGTCCTCCTGTGGGTCTCAACATAAAGTAGATGCTCAAGCCAGGCAGTATATGTCAAGGATAATAGCAATGATACTGGCTACCACTTACCTGTTGTCTCATTTTATGAATTAATTTTGTCATTACCTCTTTTTTTTTTTTCCTTGGAACTGGGGATTGAACCCAGAGGCACTTAGCCACTGAACTACATCCCCAACCCTTTTTATTTTGAGACAGGGTCTCGCTAAGTTGCTTAGGCTGGCTTTGAACTTGCACTTCTTCTGCCTCAGCCTCCAGAGCTGCTGGGATTATGGGCATGTGCCATTATGTCCAGCTTGCTGATACCTCTTACATTTGGTGTATCCTCTGTCTGAAAAACCCTTCCCTGAATGCCATTTTTCATTCCTCATTCTTTTCTTTCTTTTTTTTTCATTGCTGGGTGTTGAAACAAGAACTTCACACAAGCTAAGCACATTCTACTACTGATCTACCTCCAGCCCTAACAAATATTTTTGAAGTACCTGCCCCCATCATTCTCTATACTATTTCTATTTTTCCCCCACAATTCACTCTCTAAAATTATCTTATTCATTTGTTAACATATGTATATTGTCTGTCTCTTCCACTAACATAGAACATCAGTGAGGTCAGTAACTACATCTGTCTTTTTCACTGCTTTTTCTCCTATCCCCATCACAATACCCAGCAAGTATATGTTGATTAGCAAATAAGCCCAGGAAAAATCGGTTCTTCGTTCAGATTAGGAAGCTGAGCTTACACTGTGTCAGAGACTGGGTCTGAGTCCAGAGTTCTCAGCTCTGGTACACACTGGACCCCATTTGGATACAAGTTTCTGGAGGTTTACAATATTCCTCCAAGGTTCTAAGATTCAGTTCAATGGGCATCCAGGTGTCTCAAGGGCAGGACCCAAGGCTTGAGCTCAGGGTCAAGAATGTGTGCTCTGGGAGAATGTTGTGGTTTTGGACCCAAAACTTGAATTCACAACCTATTTCCCTAGGCTTAGCAGTCTAGCTCAAGCTCCCAGGCACCACCCAGCACAAAGCTCTTAAGCATCTAATCAAATTCATAACCTGTCCATATTTCTTAGGGCAACACAGCAGCCTCCATTCACACACACTCCATGCTCTAGCTCCTCTCTCAGATTTTACCAAAAAGTGCTTCTCCAGGAGCTTTGCCTTCAACAAGCCCTCAGAAGTTCACTATTAAATTTGGCTTGGAAAACCCCACACAAACACCCTCACCCCAGAAGCTCTGCCCACACCCTCTCCTGTCTGTAGAAGCTCTGCATCCTCTTAAAGCCCCTCAGTCCAGAAGCCCCGCCCCCACACAACTGTCAGCCCACAGACCCCGCCCACAAGCCAATAAAAGCACTCAGCCCAGAAACCCTGCTCCAGAACGGGCTTCCTAGTAATGCAGGGTCTCCTTCCTGCTCCACCGCGCCCGGTATAAGCCCCTATAGCCCAGAATGTTCACCTCCGAACGAACAAGCACTTACAACCCAAAAAGCTCCGCCTTTAGCATAAAGCCACGCCCATCGCCGGACCCCGCCCCCATTTCTAGCCCTGTCGAACAGGTCCTCATCAAAGCCCAAGCCCCCAAAGAGCGCTTCATTTTGGAAGCCCCGCCCACCACTCTAATGTCCCGCCCCCACAACAGAGGGCCCACCCCGCTAAACGACAGGAGGGGGCGGGGTCCCGTCTGCACCCGCATCCCCTCCCCCTCCCTTCGCTGGGATCTGGTCCGCGTGGGGCAGCAATTTTGCAGCTTGGTCACCCTGACCCCCACGCCCTCTAGTTCCCGGGCCAAGCCTGATCCGCTCTGCTCACCCATCTCCTCCCCCCGGCGCTCTCCGCTTCGCCGCCGCAGTTCCTGCGGGCAATATGTCGGAGAGGACGGCGGCCGGGAGAGGACTAACCGCCGCAGCCCAGTCCTGGGTATCAGCCGCGCGCTCTCGCCTCACTGCTAAATTTGCATACAAGGCGGGCTAGGCGATGGGAGCGCGCTTCTTAAAGGGCCACCCGAACAAAGGCGGTGCCTGAGCTCCCTTTGTCTCCTAGTTCCCTGCGCCCTTCCTGCATTAGCCGCTGAAGAGATAAAAATAGGGAGTGGAATTCACCTCCAGTTCTTCCCGTGTTTGCCTTCGTATCTTCAGACTCCAAGAAGAGGCCAGAACAGCCTTTGTGCTCCTGCTGGAGAGGATCTGTATCCATGAGCAGCCCACAGGCACTCAAACTCAAAGTGTCCCCAATTGGACTTTCATCTTTCCCTTGGGCTTTGTTTCACTTTGGTCCACCCGAGCCAAAACCTGGGAGTAGGGGCGCTTGCGGCTAAGCATAGCTACTGGGGAGGCTGAAACAGGAAGATCGCAAGTTCTAAGCCTCCTGGACAACTTGTCGAGACCCTTTCTCAAAATAAAAAAATAAAAAGGAGTTGGAAAGAAGTGTAGCTCAGTATTACCACCCTGGATTCCTTCCCCAGGACAAAAAACGCTGGAGTCATTTCCTTCTTTCCCTCTGCCCCCACATCCAATCTGACCTAGTCTTGCTGACCCTAAATTCTAATAATTTCTCATATTTGATCCCCACTCTCCATTCTCTGCCACCCACCACCTTAATCCAGATCCTGATTTTTTTTTTTTTTAAAGAGAGAGTGAGAGGGGGACACAGAGAGAGAATTTTTAATATTTTTTAGTTCTCGGTGGACACAACATCTTTGTTGGTATGTGGTGCTGAGGATCGAACCTGGGCCGCACGCATGCCAGGCGAGCGCGTTACCCGCTTGAGCCACATCCCCAGCCCCAGATCCTGATTCTTATTCTGCCATTTCCAAGCCTTGAAATCCCATTTCTTGGTTTTTACAATGAGATAGGAAATATTCACCTTGTAGGTCTTCATGAGGAATAAATGAGATAACGCATGTGCAACAGTCTGTTTTAATCAATGTTAACCATCATTGTTATATTTGGTAAGTACTTAACCCAGAGGATGAATTGGATAAATGAGCTGTTGCTATTAAGGGTTATTATGAGTTATTCTCTCAAAAGAAAAAGACTTATAGGGCTGAGGCTATAGCTCAGTAGTAGAGTGCCTGCCTTGCACATGTGAAGCACTGGGTTTGATCCTCAGCACTACATAAAAATAAAGTTATTGTCTCCAACTACAACTAAAAAAAATATTTTTAAAAAATGAATAAGACTTATAAACAGTCTTAATCACCTTGTAGCTACATTTCTTATCACAGTGCTTGGCACATGGTAGACATCAATATTAAACCAATTGAATGAATTATCTATTTAATTAATAGATATCTACAGAGCTTACAGTCAAGTGGGAAAATATGGATAAACAAAATTCTGTAGTATGTAAGAAGGGCATGATTGGCATGGAGGAAAAACAAGAGATGATGGAAGTTTCCAGTTTAAGTAGGATGGGCAGAGTAGATTTCACTGAAGACACTGAGTTAGTCACACACAGAAACCATGAGAAAGGGAATATTCCAGGCAGAAGGAACCACCAGTGTAAGGGCCCTGGGGCACAAGTGCATTTAAGAAATACCAAGATCATGCTGGGGGTGTAGCTCAGCAGTAAACTGCTTGCCTACCATGTTGAGGCACTGGGTTTGATTCTCAGCACCGCATATAAATAAATAAATAAAACAAAGGTCCATTGACAACTTAAAAAGTATTTAAAAAAAAATAAGATCATGCTGGGAATGGTTCCACATGCCTGTAACCCCAGTAAGTTGGGAAGCTGAGGAAAATTACAAGTTTGAGGCCACCCTCAGCAGCTTAGCAAGACCCTGATTTGAAATGAGGACTGGAGCTCAGAGATAGAGCACCCCTGGATTCAATCCCTTCTTACCAAAAAAATAATAAAATAGTAAGGTCAGTATGGCTTTACTATGTAGAGTTGTGTGGCTTTTACTATGAATGAGATGGGGAGTCCTTGGAGGGTTTGAACAGACCCCCTCCCATGCTGGGGATTGAATCCAGCGCCTGTGAGGTAAGCACTCTATCACTGTGTCTAAACTTCCCGCAGTGTCTAAACTTCCTAGGTTTTGTTTTATTTTTGTTGCTCAGGCTGGTCTCAAACTCCTGGGCTCAACCAATCCTGCCTTAGCCTCCCAAATAGCTGGGACTATAGGCATATACCACCATGCCCAGCTTCCATTTTAAAGAACCACTCTGCTCTGTGAAAAAAAACTTCAGGGGCTCAAAAATCTAAGCAGAGAAATGAGACAGGAGGCTATAACGTTGATCTTAGCAATGAGATTTTGATGCTTTGGACTACCTAGGGTAAGAAGATGAGACATGGTTGGATTTTGGACTTGAAGGTAAAGTCAACAGGACTTGACATCTTGGATGGGATCGGGGGAGTACATTAGTCCTTACCTGGGGGCAGAGGGAAGTTGAGGCTCAGGGAGGAAAAATAAACATCCCTGGGTCTCTAAGCAGAGTAGAATCCAGTACTGATATTTTCTTTCTTTCTCACTCCCCCACTCCATTATTTACTTATATGCATATGCAGTGCTGAGAATCTAACCCAATGCCTCACACACACATGCTAAGCAAGTGCACTACCGCTGAGCCCCAGCACCAGTCCTTAGTCATTTTTATTTTTTGAGAGGGTCCTACAAGTTGCTGAGATGACCTCCAATTTGCAGTCCTCCTGCCTCAGTCTCCCAAATAGCTGAGATTACAAGTGCAATCCATCATGCCCAGCTGAGATTTTTTTTTCAAAGAAATTCTGAAAAAAAAATGGAAAAAAATTCTGATAGAATTGGCCTCTTTAGAGGGTGCTAAATCCAAAATATATCAAATTTCAAACCCTGAGAGCCTAACACAAACTGGCACATAAAGGGCATTCAATTTGTATGAGGTTTGCTACATGAAAGTAGTGGCAAATCAGCTCTTGAAAGGAATCCTAGGGCTGGGGTTGTGGCTCAGCGGTAGAGTGCTTGCCTTGCGCGTGTGAGACCCTGGGTTCAATCCTCAGCACCACATACAAAAAAATAAATAAGTGAAATAAAGGTATTTTGTTCAACTACAACTAACAAATAAAATTTTTTTAAAGGAAACCTAGTTAGTTAAAAAAAAATGATTTCAGGAATATTCCACAGAAAACCAAAGCCAGACCATTCTTAGTAATACATTTTAATTCATCAGGTCAATATTTCTTAGCAACTACTACATCCTGGGCACTGGCGATACAGAGGTAAATGAGTGGCTTGCCACTCATTAGTGGGGAGACAGAATAATTGATGTATTAGGCAGTATGTACCAAGTTCAGAGGCACTCAGAGGGTGACTTAACTCTGATGGGAGGGAGTGAAGACTTCATATGAGATGACATCAGTTTCTGAGATGTGTTTGCTTGTTGTGCTCCTATCAGGAAGCAATGGCTTGCATCTGGTAATTGCCTATAGGGTTGGTGGTAGGGAAATGTGTTACTGTGAATCTGTTACATGGAAGGTGTTGGGGTTGTACATAGTAAATACTAATGTTTGCTAATGCCCAGCATCCATTTCTCCTTCTTCTGGTAAGAAAACCAATTTTCTCTTGGTGAACTACCTTTCCTTACTCAGTCCATTTGTGGTTTGGTGAGATTGCCTACCTTGCAGTTCCAGTGGGCAGATGACCCTGAATTGGCAAATCAAAGCATTCCAATATTCCTGCCACCCCAAGCTAGTGACTGGATGACGTTGGGGGAAGTGTCAGGCTAAAAGACATACAATCCCAGGATCTATAATTAAACTATTTTTTTTTTTTATAATTAAACTATTGGGGGAAAATTTTTTATTCCCTCCTGGGATGGGTAAGCAAATATGATATAAACTTGGAGCTCTTGGGGGCTACCTTGCCACTTTTGGGGAAGAACTTAGCTGACAAGGAAACATTATCAAGAAATCACCATCTAGGCTGGAGATACAGCTCGCCCTGCTTGCACAAAGCCCTGGGTTCAATCCCCAGCACCATAAAAAATAAATAAATAAAAAATTAAAAAAAATCACATTCTGGCCAGGGCAAAATAGTGCATGCCTATAATCACATCAACTCAGGAGACTGGGGCAAGAGGAAGGCAAGGACTAGGCTAGCCTGGACAATACAGTCAAGAAAATAGAGCTAGGGCTGTAGCTCAGTGAGAGTGCCCCTGTGCTCAATCTTCAGTACTGCAACCCACTCACCCCTGGGGGGGAGGGAAACAATATATTGTGAGGCTGGAGATGTGGCTCAGTAGTGGAATGCTTGCCTAGCGTGAGGCCCTGGGTTCAATCCCCAGCATTGCCTCAC